CAACACAACACAACACAACACAACATCTTTGTCTAAACAGATGGCATTAACTGTTGGAGGAAACTGTTAGTCTGTTAGCAAAACATGGCCAACCTTCCATCAAGCCATTCTCTTTACACAGGCTGTCTCATTGTGTGAGAGGCAGGGGACACCCTGGACATGTCTCTAGTCCATCACAGGGACACAGAGACAAACTACCATCATGTCCAGGGATAACTTAGAGTTAGCAACAAACCCAACATGCATGTTTTTGGTCCACTGGAGGAAATTGGAGTACCTGGTTTATGGGATACTTTGTATTCATGAAACACCGGACTCAGAAAATAACATATCAACAACTGATGAACTGTTGGCTCCCACAGCTAATCAACATTAACCTAAACAAAAACAGCTATAGCTGGTTGCATTTTAGCTTTAGCTCAGATACTGTTTAAATTATTGAAGTTACATGAGTTGGTTGTTTATAATATTTTACAGGTTATGTATAAGGCTCATAAAAAGATATATTGCCTTTAAATATCCAAATGAATTTTGTTAAAAGAGAAAGTTGTTATAATTTGAAAGGGATGGAGATGTTTGTGAAACCTGAATTTAGAACTTGTTTAAGGGAGCGATGTACTTCGGTACAAGGAATAAGACTATGTAATAATCTGGAGAGTGAGGTCAAAAATGTCAGAACAATGTCGATGTTTAAGAGAATAGTTAAGGTCACTTTGTTAAAGAAATATGAAATAATATAATGTGCGTACATACGAAATGATGCTAAGTTAGGATTTGAGGTTGATTTTTGTTTTGTTACTTTTTGTTTGAAGATCATTATTGTTTAATTTTTTTTTTGAGAAAAAAAGGCTCAGATATAAGATGTTTTTCATTTTATTTTTGTGATTTGTGTTTTTTTATTGTACATAGATTTTGTTGCTTTCAAAGAAATGAAATGAATAAAGAACTGAAAAAAGTGGTAGTAGCTGAGTCATTAACAGATCATGACATAAGGCTAAATATTGCATCAGATCATGTAAAACCTTTTTTCCAGGTTTGACCAAACCAACTATAACTCAGTTGTTTCTCATAAGATGATCGTGATCTAAAATTTTAGCATAAATAACAGCAGGTGATATAGATTTCTTCAAACAGAGCCAGGCCTTYAAACGTTATTGAGAATCAACATAGCAGTGTTACTAAAAGAGGAAACTGGGCCACACCTCCTGTTCTCTTTAGATACCTGCCCAGCAGCAGGTGAGCACAGACACATTACAGCAGATAACAACAGTCTGACTTCTCAGAACCAAACTGGATCATTTATTTGTGATCAACAACCAGGAGGCTTTCCCAGGTGTTTCACAGTGAAGCTCAGCTCCTCCTTACCTGGGGCTGCTGCACAGAGTGCTGCTCGGGCTGCTGGACAGGTTCTGCTTGATGCGCTGGTAGTTTCGGACCTGAGTTGGAACAGGGATGGGGGTGGTCTCCCCCCGAGGGGACACGGTGAGAGTTAGTCCTGGGGCTGGCTGCGGCTGCCTGCAGGGGAAGAACGGAGACAGAAGTGCAGTGAAGTTCAGTGTTGCAGGCTGCTGATGCCTCCATATCTGCAGCACGTCTTCAGGAGCACCCACACCCATGATCACCTAAAGCTTTACACTCTGCTGGTGGCAGACACACAACATGAAGCTGAACATCAACACAGGAGAAAAAAGAGGGCGGAGCCTCCATGTAAACACGGCAGAGCAGCCAATCAGCTTCAAGCTGTGAATAAGAAAGGCGGAGCTAAAGGGAGGGGCGGCCAACTGCACGTGTGAGACCGAGTCACAGAGTTCAGCAAACACAGGAGGGAAGCAGAAAAAGCTCATTTGCATCAGGAGGACAGAATGTTCTGAATAACTGGTGATAAAACCACCAGCTGAGGCCTGTGGCTGAGCAGGAAATGTTTCAAACAAAGAGTGGACATGAGGCAGACACAGAGCTGTGTTACATTCAGACTGGGAAGGAGACATGTGACTTCAGTCCCACAAAGAACCACACAACAGTCACTGTGGAAGACGTCTGCAGTTCTGAGAATACGACCACGTGCCGTCCTCCCTCCACATGATTTAACCCCAACCACCACACGGAGGCTTCTCCTGGAAACTGAACTAAACCCAGCTCAGTGTTTTTACACAGAGTCAGGGTGTTGCTTTGTTTACATGGAGGGAAAAATCTGTGAACAGCTGCTTGTTAAAAACAAAAACAAAGAGTGGAAAGATGAGATAATGGAGCTGCAGTCAGCTGCCTCAGTGGAGGGGGATGGGATCTCAGGTTTTAATCTGACTCCTCGTTCTCCTTATTGATCACATTCATTTTGTTTGTCTTTTTCTAGTCTTTACTGATAATCTCTCCTCTGACCATGAAGTGTACATTCACCATTTATCTCCAATCAATCAGTTCAGGACAAACTGTACAAAGATACAGAGACAAAGAATGACAGGATCCTTTAAAGACACACCGCTGCCAAAAGAGTCAAACTGAGATTTGGTCTTCATTGTCGATGGGTAACTAACTGTTACTGATACAGACAGAAGAGGGAAACAACACTGCAAAAACTGTCCAACTAACCAAGTTTTAAAATCTTATATCATCCAAAAAGTCTTTTTGATCTTGTTTTGAGACTGATTTACTAAACAAGAACTGATTGTGTAAGAATAATCATCTTGTTTTCAGAATGTGTAAGATTATTTG